GCGCATGACGCCACAATAGGCCAGGAGCTCTGCTTCCTCGACTATGAGGGTGCGCGACAGGCAAGGTATGCCCACTACATGACTTCGTCGCCGGCTGCTTACCAGCTCGCCGTCGTGGCCGAACATGGCTGTGGGAGGGGAGGTGGGAGAGGATGGCTAGGGTTTGGCATTGAACGGCGGCGGAGAAGGTTGTAGAGGCGAACGGCGGTGGGAGAAGGTTATGGGAGGGGAAGGGAGTGGAGTGGATGTGTGCCGGTATGCAGTTCATTTTGAGTCAGTAAAATCCACCCTTTGTTGAAAAACCCTTCGAAACATGCATTGTGCACCTCAACGGTCAAGTGAGACCATAGAGGAATCGAAAACACACAAAGGTTGGTTATGGATCGGTTGAATAAATTGGTTGAGCAGATCGTTTATGTTATTTATAGAGTTTTAATCAATGGATGAATGCTGAACATTCCTGCTGGTTGTTTCTAACCCTTCTTTTTCAAGCTGGGAACATCCCCCAATTTGTCTGTTTAATGAGTTACCAGAAAAATCACATGAAGCATTTTGTTAATACTCCCTCCGTTCCAAAATAGATGACTCAACTTTGTACTAACTATATACTCCCTCCGTTCCAAAATAGATGACCCCAACTTTGTACTAATTCAGCAAAGTTAGTACAAAGTTGGGGTCATCTATTTTGGAACGGAGGGAGTATTATAGTTAGTACAAAGTCGAGTCATCTATTTTGGAACTGAGGGAGTACCTTCTTGGCACAGAGGCATGAACTGCTAGTTTTTCTATTCTTGATTTACGGTTCGATACTGATACTTGCTGTCTATTTTGTCTGCAGTAACTTCATGCATTATGTATCTTGAAATAACAACAATTTATGCTTCAAGTCTGAGAAATCGGGATGCTACTTTGGTAGTAACTTTGTAACAGATTTCTGTTTTAAAGATTGTTTGTTTATTGGAAATGAAAATTGTGAACCAATTTCGTCTCCTCTGCTTTCCGTCCTTAGCAAATTTGAGAATGCACCTAAGTGCATATCTTTGTATGGGAAAAACAAAGACATGACTGCCGGACTGTGGCATTTACAGGCGACCAGGCTATGAAAATTGGTTTTCAGTTCGGTCAGCTTAACGTGAGACTGTCTTCTGGAATAAAGCTTAACGCCAGACTGAACTAATTGCAAATTGCTTTCATACTGCAGGTGCATTTGTAAGTGTTCAATGCTACCGAACTCACTCATGCCAAGATTACAAATTTTGGCACAGTTTTTGAATCACCTGATGACCTTATTAAACATGACCACCAGTCCAACTACTGACACAACAATAACATTGCGCAAAGTCTGCCCTCGTCTTTGCGTCTGCAAACATCCAAGTGCCTGACTCGTTAGAAAATCTACACCAGCAAATAATCCTGATAAAACCAAAAGGCCTCATCAAACCTTTTTTTTTCTGTAATATCAACCTGATTGTTGATTAACCAACAATAATCTTTCTGGACTGGAAAAATAAGCCATGCATGGTTCGATTTGTAGTAGAAAATGGTATTATAAAGGCCCTACATTTACTAAAGCCAATGTAGAAGAATAGTAGTGCTAACTGCGGTAATTGCATCTTACAGTATGACATAAAAAAGAACAGAAAAAAAAAACACTACAGCCTATACAGATTACAGAGAAGATAATAAATAACACTCAAACACAGCGGAAAAGAAACAAAACTTCTGAAATATCATAGGCCCTGCCATCGTTACATGCAGTACAGGAGCATAGTGTCTGCTAGCTGATGGTGTAAACAGCTAACACATCTTACAATATGGCATCAACAGAAAAGATTGTAAATAACGTTCAAGCACAGCAGAACAGAGAATCAGAAGAGTGGGATAACTTCAAACTACAAAAGAAGTCAGGCCAAAGGCCAGGATGCGATTCTCGAACCTATCAGCAAAGGGATTCGCCACAGATAAATCATGGGTATGCTTGTTATCTGCGAAGTCAATCCAGTGCCGATTCAAATAGCTTTTGACTTCAAATCGAGCATGTAGAGAAGCTCTGTGGTCCAATCGTAGCCGTCTGTGTTGATCAGACATCCATTTTTCATTGCAGCAGTTGAGGGCTATAAATATCATTTGCTCTAGCACCATTGCATTCAAGATGAAAAATTTGGCAAAGTCCACATCTGGCTTGTTACCCCAGTAGTTCTGCAAGACCACGCTTTTGAGATGGAGCGTGAGGCATTCGATTGGATCCAGCGGGTCATATTTTCGCACATTTTTCATTCCTTTCCGTAGGTGCGACTGGAGATGGAAAGAATAGAGAATGTAAAGGCAGTTGGTTAATCAACTAGAGCACATGCTGACAAGCAGATGTGAATACTCACAATGATATACAGCCTCTCTAAGCAGGGGAAGCATTTGAGGAAGCCAATTACTGCATCAAGATCAGGGCCAACGGTGTCGATAACCAAAAACTTGATAGTGTGCATGATGGTTGTCACACTGATGGCCGGCAATTCCTGAAGAAAATGACAGACCTACATAAGAACAATAACCTTTCTTGCACATAACGAAAAGACTCTGAAATCTGTTGTTTACCTGAAAACCTGTGGTTCCAATATGGAGTTTGGATGTGCCATTTGACAGCAAAACCATCATCTGCAGCTTGGGTGCTCCGATGATCTGGACTGTGGAGGGACCATAGCCTCCACTGAGTGGTAGAAACCTCTCAAGGCAAGGGGCGTCCACGATGACCAGATCTTGGACAGGGGAAGCCACAGACGTATGAGGAGCAGAAAAGCCTATGCTCCGAAGGGTCGAGGAGTTGATGCGGAGGCGGCCAACGCCAACATTATCTTTCAGTAAAAGGCTTTCCAGTGAAAGGCAGCCAGAGAGCAAGCTGTGCAGAGCGTCCCCCGAGATGGTGACTGCATGTGTGGTGAGCTGCCTAAGGTGCGGAAAATTCAGAGACGACGCAGACAAGTCCGAGATGGTGAGCATGTACATGGTGAGCTGCTTGAGATGCGGAAAATTCAGAGACTCGGCAGGCAGCTTGGGGAAATAGCAGTAGCTGATTCTGGCAACGCGGAGTGTCGGCGCGAAGCGGAGCGCGGACTGTGGTATCGGCGGCGGCGGCAGCCGGTATGGCGGGAAGCCTAGTGGGTCGTAGCCGAAGCTGAGCTCCTGGAGGTCGGTGAGGGCCTGGGAACGAAGCCAGGCGTCGATCTTGTCGTGGTAGCGTTCATGGAGGCAGGGGAGCGAGAGGCGGAGGGCCGGGCCGGGGTGCTCGGCGAGGATCTTCGAGATGTAGACGACGCGCTTACCCACCTGGCCGGAGAGGCCATGATCGATGAGGTTGAGGGGCGCCGAGCGCCAGAGGGGCCGCCACCGGCGGGCGAGGACCTGCGTGCGGACTCCGTCTTTGGTGGGGAGGCGAGAGATGATGGTGCACAGGAGGTCGTCGGGGAGGGCGTTGAAGAAGTCGAGGCCGACCCCGTCGCCGGCCCTGCCGCTCTCCGGTGGTGGTTCTTGCTCGTCCAGTCGGTCCAACTTGCGCTTCTTGACGTTGTGCGCCGCCGGCGACGGCGGCGGCGGCGCATCCATTGATGCAGAGCGGGATGGCTTTTGCGGCGCGTGGCTTGGGGGCGATGGTGTTGGTGGCGGGATTGGAGAATGGGGAACGAGGGATTCAGGGGATTGGTTTTTATGCGCGGAAGAAATGGCGGGAACTGACGGAGGATTTTCGCGCGTCCAATTTCAAATGTTTCAGCCCGGTTTTCGGAAATGCGCCGTGCATTTAACGTTTTCAAAATGGCGGGAACGTTTTATTTCTTACTCCCTTCGTACCAAAATAATTGTCTCAATTTTGTATTAATTTTAGTAGTACAAAGGTATATTAAGGTTTAGACATTTATTTTGAGACTGAGAGAGCAGAATTCAAAAGAAGAAATATGTTGAAACTCAATTTAAAATTAAAAAAACAAATTTGGACGTACATATTACTTTAGAAAATCTTCATAGAATTTAAAATATGTTTGTATTTTAATAAAATGGTGACAGAGTTTTAAAAGCATTCATGTTTTGAAATAACAAATTTCATGTCATTTTTAAATAGTGTTCACGTATACTTTATTAAAACACTTATTCTAAAATGTGTTATATATTTAAGAATTACCATATAATTTAAAAAGTGTTCATTTAATTTTTGAAAAGTGCTCACGTTTTTTTAACCTATGCACAATCAAAAACTGTATACATATTTATTTTTTAATATGTTCGTGTAATTTTGAAAAAGTGCTCACACATTCTGAGGAAGTGATTTGTGTAATTTTGGAAAGTGTTCATGCATTTCCTAAAATTCATAACTAAAACTAATTCACATTGTTTACATTCTTTTCTATTATTGTGAACAAATCATTCAAATTTTCCACATTTTTTGGAGAGCATGTTAATTGCTACTCCCTTTGTCCCATAATGTATAGTGTCAGAAAACGTCTTACATTATGGGACGGAGGGAGTATTGTTTTGAATAACACCTTGTGTACAGATGAATCGTTCTGAATTGATGAAAAAGAGGCGGACAAGTATGTTGTATGTCCATGGCACCAAGGAGTTCACTAAAGTCGCTTCGCAAGATATGCTGAAGAGGGTCACTTGTCCATGGCATCAAAGAGTTCACTAAAGCATTTTTTCTCTCATCACACGGTAATCAAGACCAATAACATTCTACACATAGTCTCCTTAATTCTACATGCACTTACCTTATTGTGGGTTGGGTAATTAAAGAGGAGAGAAATGGTGGTTTGCATCTTCCTAATACATTTTTTTACACAACTCCATAATTTGTCCTAAATTTCCTATATGTACACTTTTCACCGGACGGAGGGAGTAAAATTGAGTAAAATGTTGTGATTTTTAGGGGAAATTAAAATTTTTTGAGTCTCTGCTTAGACCTTTCCATGTCATATTATGAAAGTAGGATAATCATTATTCCAATAAAGAAAATCATGGTTGGGGGGTTTATTCAAAATTCATAAGGCGTTTATTTCTTTTGGACTATTTTCAAACCACATTCAACATTATGGAGTGAGAATAAAATGAATTTCTCAAATATGGTGGATAACTATTTCATAAGTGATTTATTTGAAATTTGGATTTATTTTGAATTTGGAGTTTAATTTTGAATTTAATTGAGTATTTAAGACCATTTAAAATTTTAAATATTTCCAATATATCAAATAGTATTATTGAGGGGAGATAATATGACTTCTCCCAAAAAAATCGAAATATTTATTATAAAAGCCCATAAGGCATTTTCAAAATAAGTTCTAAAAATAAATATTTAACTAATGCTAGAAACAATTTTACTAAGTCCTAATGAAGAGTCTGAAATGTTAAAAAATTCCTTTTATTTTTTAGTTAAAAGTTCATTAATTTTAAACTAAATAAATGAATCCAATAAAGCTAAATCCTAATTAGCCTAGTGGGCCAAGCCATATCCTCTCGTGCTCTATCTTTCGCTAGCGTTAGTGCAGAGCAGCGCAACCGCAGCACAAAACGACCTCACCCGTCTTCTGTCTCCCCGATAGGTGGGCCAACACTGTCAGGTGTCTCTTCCACCTCCGTGCAACGACGAGGGAAGCCGAGCCGATGCGTACGTATTTGTCTGCATGCATGCATGCATGTGACATCTACAGTTGATAGCTAGCTAGCAAATGGCCGGTCAAATGCTTTGAAATAGTTTACGGCCCTGTGCTATGAATTAGGCATAGAACAAGAGATTAATAGTAGAAAGTTGATCAAACACATTCTCCCTCCGTTTCTTTTTAGTCTGCATATATATAACATTTGGTCAAAGTCAATTTTTATAAAGTTTGATTGACTTTATAAAAAAAAATCAACATTTATAATATTAATGTTATGTTATGAAAGTTAATTTCATCATGTATCTAATAATATTGATTTCATAGTGTGAATATTGATATCTTTTCTTATAAAGTTGGTCAAATTTTAAAAAATTTAACTTTGATCAAATTTTATATGCAAACCTAAAAGAAACGGAGGGAGTAGGTAGAGTCGTCCTTGCTTGTGGGTTGTGGCCGGCTGTGTCGCCACTGCCATCGCATTCCTCGCGACATTTTAGCCTATACGTATCTACTCTGTATGTTTGATCATCAATTCATCATATCATGTACTCTCTCTATCTCAAAATTTTTGTTTTAGATTTGTTTAAATACAGATGTATTATGTCACATTTTAGTATTAGATACATCCGTATCTAGGCAAATCTAAGACAAGAATTTTGGGATAGAGAGAGTATTATACATGGTCCGTGAACTTATATCTGCATCGACATGTCAAGTGTATCAACTCAGGCAAAATGATTCACATTCCTCGGTTTGAGCCTAGCTTTCTGTACAACTTGAATTTCTTTTCATTGTTCCAGTCTAATTCATTGTTGGAGGGAAAGGGTGGGCCTTGAACTGAAGGAGAAGCAAATATGGTTCTGCTCATTGTTAAATTGGCTATTGATTTGAAGAGATTATTGTTAGAATAAATCTAAGGTATATCGTCGATCATCCAAGGACCAAGCAATTAAACGAGGCACGATATCAAGATTTGTTAATGAGGTTCATCGATATGGCTACATCCCCGGGGCTTGACTATGAGCGCTCCTCCTCATGACACCGCTACAATACTGCACCCGGTCGCCCTGGACGCCGGCACATGCCGCCGGCTTCCCCTGCGTTCCTGTGCTATTATGTTGGCATAGGTTACATCGTGTGTCTACCCCCACTATATATGAGAGCCTAGGATACAGATGTCCTACTAGGACACGACTCCATATCCTATATAAACACAATACTACTACAAGTCCAACTGTAACCTACCTTGTACACTATATTCGACACAACTCCAACAAACTCCACCTTGGCGAATATACTCCACCACCTTGAATTTGTCCATGTGTCAAACTTTCATGTACTCCGGACTTGAGCTTATCCAATGAGTATCGCTGCTACTCCAAAGACTCCATGTGACTCCACCTGCAACTTGTAGTCCCTTCTTTTCTTGACCACAGTCAACACTCGAGCAAAATTAAGTTCCTTGTTACTCTAGCTTGTGCTCCCAACTTCCAGAGTATCCGTCCAATGCTATCACACACTGATCACTGACCTGCGTGAAATTGAACAAGTCACATATTGGGTGTCACACATAAGAGTTACCTGAAATCAACATCACCGCTCCTTTGTTGACTGCCTGTCTGAAACTTGAAAGAATTTCATCGTTGCTTGTAGTCATCCCGAGTCAAATTCGCAGTTGTCTCACCACATGTATGACCACCAGAGCCCTGGCTCGTCTGCGTGTCCCATGCATACCGCACACCTCGCCGCTATTACCGCGTCGAGCCTCCGCTGTCCCGGTCGAGTCTCAAGGGTCGCGAAACCACACCACTCAGCCCCCACTGCAGAGTACCACCGATCATCACCGACCGATGACGAGTTTCACGCTTCCATCAGACCACTGGGCTCCAGTCCGAACTGCGTGTCACTCGCTTTTTCCCCTTGCTGAATAGGCTTCGATTCCCTGGATCCTTACACCGTAGCCCCTCAATCCAGCTTCACCTTCAACATGACTCCATGGTAGATGATCAGTCCACCCTCGCGCCCCGTTGACTTCAAGCTCTCATGTGCACACCGTCTTGAATCAACCCCGCGCCATAGTCTTGTTGAAGCCACACAAGCCCTCAGGCCCGCGCCACGTGTTTCCACGCCCAGAAGTCGGTCACAATCAGCATCACGCTCCTATGTCGTTATCGCCGATCTCACCACCGTCTTCTGTACTGACCGACTCGCGTCGATCCCGTCAGACTGCCTAGTCCGACCCAGGCTCCCAAATCATTCCATGAATTTCCATCCATCACAGATAGTTCCATCACTGCTGACATGACTTCCCGCAACGCCTTCAAGCATCCTTGTTGTGTCAATAAATCTTTCACCCTCATCTGCCATAACCCAAGATCTTTAGTTCCGTGAACTTTTCCACCTCAAACTTGGTACCCGCTGATGCCATGGTTCTTTGTATGACTGACTATGCGAAAAAATAATCTGAGCTTTCCATGTGATTCCCCAAGCATACCAACAGAACTCCGCATACTACTTGCAAAACTAACCAAGAATTGGTCTTTACGTTTGGCTCCTTGGCTTCAACTCCAATACTAGCAATTGACTTGTCAACACCTACTGTTAATTGCGATGGATACATATCCCATAGATGAATTTCTTTCGCCGATTGATTAAGCCTGCCTATCTCAGTGGAGACTCGGTCTTCCTTTTTTTCAAACAAATCCCGTGACTTGCTGTTTCCGATTGCACAACTATCGCTAAAATCTGTATGCTCAGCGTCCGATCGAGTCCTCAGCCTGCACGCGTCCTTCCACCGCCTGGGCTGCTATCCGTGTGCCCGCCGGACCGCACTTGCTCATCTGCGTTGCCACAAGCCGCGCCCAACCTTGCCGACTCTGAGTACGTCAGCTCGGCGCCCACGTGATCGAACAGCACGCCGATTCTTCCGATCTCGCCGACAAATAATTCTTCCGCGAT